GCATTAGAACATATGTAATAAGAGCTCATACTTTTGCAGCATTTTATATATTTTTGTGGTTTTCTAAATTGGCTAATTTGGCAATCTACTTAAGTGTACTTGCTGGATGGAGCTCAGGTATAGTATGATGCAGACTGTGGCACTCACTGTGACTTGGATTTTCTGTAACAGGGTGAAAACATTTATACAGGGCAACAGTGTGTGGAAGCACTTTGCAGAGTGGCTGTGCCAACACAGTCCTAACCACCTCTGTTCTTTGTCTCAGTAACTCCCTTTGAAAATTGCGGCTGCAGTATGTGAAAGTCAACAGGTCTTCTGATGATCCTGTTATTCTCTGGGATAATCAATGTTACCACAGTCCTAAAGCTGACACGGACCTGATACACAAGAAGACAGTGGCAACCAATACTTGATGGAAACTCCCCATGCTTTAGGAAATGTAGGCATGAAATCCCCATGACAAAATGCTACTCTGCTGCTCTTGTTCTTAGTTGGATCAGCTGCTATCACTCATATACAATTAATACAAATACAAGTCTCACCAAATATTTGCATAATTTTTATGATTAGGTGTCTACCAAACAGGCTTATTTATTCTGACTGGTTTTTACTTCTATTCCATTATTTAGTAGCTTTCCTTCAAGCACTATTTACAGCTGCTAAATTGACATCTAGAACTCCATGGCTTACAAAACACAAGTGCTTTTCTAAGTCTTACAAATCTTCAAAGAATTTAAAATGCAGTAATTCTACCATGTATTCTGAAATTCCTGAGAGTTTTGGCTCAGAGATTCTGACTGAAAGATTGAACCATAAATTCCTTCATTTAAGAACTATCATACAACTCTATGCTTATGTTTGTCCTTGCAATACTTATACTATGATTTGCTACTTCCACATTGTCTTCTCAAGAGGCATCTCATTCCAGTGGAAAAGCATTTTGTTTCAATTTTAAAACAGAAAAATGCTTTTGACATGAGGGAAATGCGAATCAGGAGCCACAGAAATGAAGTATTTTGAGCTGGGCATAAAATAATCAGCTTTTAAGGCCATAGGTTTTGGCATTTTAGTTTGTGCAACTGGGGCACACATACTTTTGGAAAAGCTTCTAAAAGAAATTTTTTAAAAAGTCAGCAGTTTGGAACTGAAAGAGACTCATTGAACAATTCATTCTTGTTTAAAATGTTCATAAGTTCTATTTTTCAGTTTATAAGTATGTGCAAAAGTTTCTAAAGCTGAATTAAAGTAAATATAGTTACATAAATGCAAAGAAAAACAACTTTAATTCATTTGCTTTAGGCAAGATTAATTTATCCCCAGTTTCAACCAATGAAAAGTAGCTTCTCAGCTGTGACTGAGGGGGCCCATGCAAATCTCATGGAGTTCAACAAGGAAAAATGCAATGTTGTACACCTTTGTCAGGGCTCAGGCAAGCACAAATTCAGGTTGGGCAGGGAATGGAATGAGAACAGCCCTGAGGAGAAGGTCTTAGGGGGTGTTGTGGATAAGCAGATCAACATGATCTCACATTCTTCTTCTCATGACCTTGCTGCAGCCCAGGACACGGATGACCCTCTGGGCTGCATTGAGGGAAGTGTGGTCAGCAGGTCTAAGGAGATGATTCTCATCCTGTAATCTGTTCTCCCCTGTTGTGACCCCAGGTGAAGTACTGCATCCAAGCTCTGAGATTCTCAATATAAGGACATGGACCTATTGGATGGGTCCAGAGGCAGCCACAAATCTGCTCAGAGGGTTGGAGCATCCACCCTATAAAAACAGACTGTGAGAGTTGGGGTTGTTCAGCATGGAGAAGCATCCAGAGAAACCTTAGAGTCCTTTCCAGTACACAAAGGGGCTACAAGAGAGCTGAAGAGACACATTTAACAAGGGGATGGAGTGAAGGCACAAGGATGAATGGCTTCAAACTGACAAGAAGGTAGCTTGAGACTGAGTATTAGGAGGAGTTTTTTTGACTGTGAAGGTGGTAAGGCACTGGAACAGGTTGTGCAGAAAAGCTGTGGATGCCCCATTCCTGGAAGTGTACCAGGCCATATTGGCTTGGTCTAATGGGATGTGTCCCTGCAAGGGAGTTGAACAAGATGGTCTTTAAGGTCCATTCAAACCCAAACTACACTGTGATTCTATGACTTTGGGATGATAGCGTATTTTTAATCTCAGTTTGTATATAACCTGTTGCAAAACATACTGATTTATCTTCATTCCTGGGAAGAATTAGCATTTGGTTCTAACTGATCTATGTCACTCTGAAAAAATCATCACATATTAATAGTAAAAATTAAAGAGTATTGTTATATTTTAATACTTACCAGTGGTCTCAGTTCTAAACTACCACTGATGATATGAAACAGAAGAGAGCATATAAGAGAAGAAAAGGTGACATTATCTTTTTGTCCAGGTTTTGCTGGGATAATATTACTTGAGAGGGCATAGCAGATAAATTTTACATACATTTTTCCCTAATATGTTGGCTAAAACTGCTAAAACACTTGTTTAATCAATTTGTTCTTAAATTAAAGCATTTTGAAAGTTTTCCTGGTGTTTCCCTAATACATCATTAATCTAAGTAGTTTAACATGGGGTCTGTTCATGTTCAAACTCAATTTAATAGCAATTCTCCCACAGATGTGGAAACAGAAAAAGAAGATACTTATTCAGAAGAAAACAATTTTCAGTGAAACTGATGCTTCTGATAGAGTTCTCTCTCTTATGCTTTGGCTAAAAAGCATTCCCTTCACTGAAATAGCTTTGTTTGAATAGTTGTAGCCACACAGGAAAGGAAACTACATGAGCTAGACATGCAGTTCATGAACACAATCAACATCACGGTGTTTAGGTATAGCATTGCTACACTTTAATTTCAAGCTACCTATGTTACAAAAAAGGTAGGCTTCAAGGAAAAACTTCAAAAAGTGAAGAACAGTGCATAACATGTAAAACAAATTAAATTATTAGAGGGGTACATAAAGTATCTAGATAGATACAGAATTAAATTTAGGAAATTTTATAATTTCCTAAAAATTACAAATATTTTAATAAAAATATATAAGTATCTTAAAAAAATTCTGATATTCTGTTTTTTTCACAGCTTTCAGAAGCATAACACAAACTTCCTGAAGAAGGATGAGCTCAAAAATGGCACTTTCTTTGTTCCCTAATAGGGTTACGCACCTACTTTTAGACAACTTTTGTTTTAATCTGCAAATGAAATAAGAGTCTTATTTAATATTGATCATCCTGCACCCCAGAGAACAGCAAGACTTTAGAATGAATTCTTCGTAAACAGAAGATTTTTAAAATTTGTTTTGCTGAGAGCAGATCAAAGATTTAGAATGTTGGAATAGACCCACAAGGCAAATTATCTCCTTTGTTTTAACTGACATACTCCTGTATATAAATCATAAACACAGCAATGCATGTAAGATATTGTACATGCATTATACCTCTTGTTTAAAATATTACTCCAGCTAAGAAAACCATATTAAAAATGCAATGTTTAAACCATACATTCACTTTTTGCTGAATATTCTGATACGGCAGGTTGCAAAAATGCCAACTACTGAATGAAATGTTATCCAACTAATGTAACAAAGCAGAACAGGGATAAATAATTCACTTGAATATCTTTAAAGAATTCCCAACTCCCACACTATATTGTTCATTCAGGATTATTAAGCTCACAGTTTTGTCAGTTTGCAATGGGGACAATCTGTTACCCAATATAGTCAGCACATTAGGAGTTAACAAGTCACTTTCATCATGCAAACCAGTTCCACCCCTCAACATTCTCCCAGTTCTCCCCTATCTTTTCAGTTTGAGCATCCTAGATATTTCAGAAGTTACAAGAACCACATAACAATCAGAAAACTACATAGCATCACTTCACATATGAAGTGTCTTAGCTTCATAAACTTCATGAAGGAAATAGATTACTGTCCTGCATCCCAGAAGCAGACTGTGTGAAAAACCCATCCATAGCCCTAGAATTATAAACACTGCTCTCTTTTAACATTACAAATACAAATAGACCTTAAAAAGTGCAAATATTTGTCAAATTATTATATATATTTGATATATTATATCAAACTTTATTAATAGGAGGAGGTTTATTAATAACCTTCCTTTCAAAGTTGTACCTGAATATGCTAGAAGAGTAAATAATAAAAGTGAATCACCCCACATAGCTCTTTATTTTTTTTCTCATTTTAACACCTTTAAATGGTAACTTCTATAGGGCTCACTAGCTCAAGTCTCTGAAAAATTTTAATTCGCTTGCTTTATGCACTAAATACACTCTTTTTAACAATACAGAGAGAAGAAAAAATGTAAAAATTGGTTGTATTCCACTATAGTCAAACTCTCAGTCTTTCTTTTGTGGAAAACAGCATACACTGCTCCTTTTTTATCAGCTCCATAGCTCCTAAGACTGGAAAAGCCTGGAGAGCTCTAAAGAGCTCTATAAAGTGGACTCCATTATGCTCTTGTAAAGCTTGGCCATGACTGTCACCTGTGCCCAACCAGTGACAGGGGAAATCTGTCTTCAAGAAGCTTCACTGTGAAAACTTTGCACACAAGAATCAGTAAGATAAGTAAGTAACAGGAAAATTAATTCTTTGTTCACATTAACAAAGGCAATTTTTCACACTTTAGAAATTAAAGGTTATAGGAAAGGAATTGGGACATTGGCCACTTATAAGAAGTTACTAGATGAATTCAAGATAGGTTAAAGTGCTTTTACAAAGCTGAAAGGTTTTGTGATTCCATTAAAAGCTGAACTGTATCATGATATTTATCTAATGAAACAAAAAACGCTGTCACTGAAACACATTTGGAAGGGCAGTAAATCCTGTGCCAGAAGTTTCCAGTCATATGGGGAAATATATATTTGTGCTTGGCAGCAAATCATTGTTGTTCTAAAAAAACGCCCCAAACAAATAAACACCAAAAGCTAGAAGATCAAATGCTAAAATTTACAAAATTACCTTACTTGATCTTTTCCAACTCTTCCTCATTAGCATTGTCTGAAAATAAAATAGAGCATTTTTATTACCTTTTCTCTGCAATACAGAAAGGGAGGCCAACAGTCTCAAACAAGGCAATTCACATTTAACCACCACAAGTCAAGGAGCAACATGTACACTCCAGCAACAGATCCACACAAGACTGAAATAAATCCAGACAAGTAGCAGCCCTATGCACACCCAGGCATACTTTTCTGGGCAGTGAGTGTCTCATTTCTGGAGAGAATGCATTGTGCAAACTTGTAAGAAAGAAAAGACAGAAAGAACTAGATTTAAAATGAAAAGAAATAAATGTGCCATTATGGATAGTGACTTCAATTATGAATGATATTTGAATATTTATTTATTTATTATTTCTTAATAATAAGTACTTCAGTTTTTTTTAATATTACTGTTTTACTCACAGGTGTAGCCACAAAAGAGAAAATCTGCATGAGACTCCTTTGATGACATCAATAGATTACAAAATCCTTAAGGTTATCACTGCTCATTCATTTCACAGCAGTAAAAACAGTTATTTGGTTTGATAATTACATACATGAAATAGAAAAAGAAGTTGTATCTTCATTGTTTTAAAAGGCCAAATTTTCCTGTCCCATTACATAAACAATCTGTAAACCCCTGCCACTGCTAGGAGCCGAAGTATCCAAGACAGATTCTTAATCATTAAATAAAAGAAACATTCTGGTCAAGTAGGTTGTGGAAAGTTTATCTGTGAACACACTGTTGCTTAAACTGTTTCTATGGAATGCAAATAAATCAGTTTATACAACTTAGTAAGATTTAGTAGTCTGTTATTTACACTGAGCAGGAATAAATCAAAGGCCATTCATTTCTATTTAACTTTTTCTGTGAAAAACAAACATTATTTTAATCTTTAATTAACTATTTCAAAAATACTTGGTTTTTCAGATAATGGAAATAAATTTTGAAATTTAATATTTTCCTCGCTAGAAAATTAAATTACATTTTGGCAAAAAAAATTAAAATGAGAGAAAATATGTGGGGGTTTTGTTTCTGAAATATCCAGAAGTTTTTCAATTAGACATAGTTTTTACTGAGAAGAAAAATAACTAGCCACTGAGGAAACTTCTTAATTGTTATGGACAGCTAAGCCTAAGCACTCAGCAGTAAGTTAATAATAACTGTAGCACTGTGGCTTTGGAAAAGTTTCATGAAAATGTTTCATTAATCTCGAGATGTAATTTAACTGATTTTTCCTAGGCAAAGCACTTAAAAATAAACAGCTTGAGGCCCTGAAGCAGGCGCTGAAGAAAATATGAGTTCCTGGGTCCTGTCCAACACAGCACAGCTCCTCCCTTCCTTGTCATTTCTGAATCCTAGGTCAGAGGACAAACTCAGCTTCACTGTGCTTCAGACCAGGCCATGAGCAAGGAACAAAGTAAATCCTGACAGCTGAATTGACTATACAGGCTTAGATTACATGCTAGGAAGAAATTCTTCACCATGAGGGTGGCAAGGCATTGGAATTTGTCACCCAGGGAAGTTGTGGCTGCCCCATTCCTGCAAGTTTTCCAGGCCAGGATGGATGGGGCCCTGGGCAATGTTATCTAGTGGAGATGGTTGAGTGGAACTAGATGATCTTTAAGGGCCCTTGCAAACCAAACTACTCATGACTCTCTCAACTCTGATGAGTTCAGTTTGAGTAGTAGCTACAGAAAGGTGTGACCACCCTTATTGAGTGCATTGGCTTCATCATCATCAGCTAAAGCAGATAAGCTGGAGTCATAACAACCATCCTTAAAAGCCAATAAAACATATATAAATATAGCATAGAGCAGATCAGAATGAATGATCTATGTGGAGCTTTTTAATCTGAAAATATTCCATGCTGAGTCTATCAGTGGAGTTTTTCTAAATGATATTAATGTCCCTCTGGCAATCAATCAATAAATAAATAAATAATGCATGATATGATTTAACACAGCAAGCAAACTGACAGCACAATAATATTAATAGCTTCATATGAAGAAAAAAAACCTAAGCATCATTTAAGACAGATTATTTTAGGAAAAAAGTAATGTCTTGAACTTTAATCTCAATAAATAACAGTATCCAGGTGGAACTCGTATGTTTCCTTTCTTTCCATTTCCTTTGTTTGTTAGGTCGCTGGCAGTGATGAACAGCTGTCCCCAGTCTCTGCTGGTCTCAAGGCAACGCTTCTTATCAAGCTACCTACTTTGTCATTTCCTGTAGCTGAAAACTGCCTGTTAAGACTCAGGTAAGGAACAGCTGTGGTAGTGAAGACATGCAGCATGTGGGTGACATGCAGCTCTGAAGAACTTGCCTACCACAGGTTTTCCAGTGATGGAATATGTGAACTGAATGCTGACGGGAAAATAGTCAGAAAATCTCACATGCATTGTGGAACCCATGACTACAACACCAAACAGAATCCACAGGAAGCCCGCACACATGCACGAAATCACAAAGAGCACACTAGCACACGCAGCACCACATGTATCCAAAAAAATAATAAACACTGTCAGAATTAAAGTAACAAGACAAGCTTTGTTGGAGCAGGTCTAAGAAAAAAATCAAGCAATTGCTACATTTGATTTCTTTAAAACTGGTCATCAAAAGGAGAAATTAATGAAAAATACAGAAAAGTAAATCATAACCACATTATTTTTTATGAACAGACTTAAAATTCACAAGTCTTTCAATAGAGCTCACAGGTTTTCACATTATTATATACACATACTTCTCTCATATTTATTTATTTTACATCTTTTTAGTTTACACTGGTTTACTAATCTGTCTGTCCTCTCAAAGCAGTAAAACTGAAATGCTGCATTAATGTCAAGGACAAGTACGTCTAAACAGAACAAAGCAAACACAAATTAATTGTTTGAACTAGTGCTACTAGTTCTTTCTACATTTGGCTGGAAATAGATTAAACTTTTCCTGAATACTAAAACCTTTCTAATTTTTATAGCCTTATAAAAATAATTTATTAATCAATTTTGATTCACAATTTATGGCTGTTCATAAATCACAACAAATCAATTGCCTTCACACGTCAATAAGCAAATAAAAAGGACTTCCAATAACTTTAGGTATGCTATGGTTCTATTCAAGTACATAGTTCGAATGAGACTATGAAGATTATTACTTTAAATGTTCACATTTTTATGCCTTTAGGACAAGCACCAGATAGCAAATGGCAATGATACAAACTAGATTTTCTAGAAATTTTAATTTATCTGTCCATACTCTTGAATAGTATTGAATAGTATTGAATATACTCAAGAAATGCAGGCTATTTCTGCATTTTCTTCAAATAAAATGTACCACAAAAATCAATTTCAATCCTTGAAATAAGGATTTCAGTCCTTATTTCTGAAAGTGGTTTACTAAATCTATATATGATTGAAATTAGGTCCAAAATCCTCCAATGATGCAACCCCTGAAACAACACAATTGTAAACCACTGTTTTTCACAGTCCATCAGGACTCAAAAATAAATACTCCTCTTTCCTAGTCAGTGTAATATAGTTTTACAAACAGTTATATGAACCTATATTTACATTAATATTCTTAACTGATATCTGAATCCCAAAATGTAATGCTTTGATCTGAGGAAATGGGGTCCAGGTATAACTCTCAAGATCATTCATCAGTCAGTACGCTTAAAATCTTAATTTCATCAGAATTTTTTCAGAAAGATAAGGAAGAAAATGCACCTGCGTGGACCAAATATCTCTATCATTTCTTTTCACACCTCAAGTCTTCATCCAAAACAGAAGAATCTATTACTGTGTCAAACTAGCTGCTTGTTTTTTAAATCATTTGCAATAATACCTGTCTCACAGACAGGTGGCAGTATACAACTAGACCCCCAAATTTGTCCCATTTAATTTCAAATTTACACTTGGAGTATCTTATCCTCCAGCAGCAATAATATTTCTTAGGCAGTGTGACAGGATTTTTCCTGTAACATACACCTATGTTATTTTGAAACAGCAATAAAATGCTTTGTGAGACCTGTCCTCCAACAACATATCCTTAAAAGACTTTCCTTTTACCTGCACATTAATGAATGACCTCCAAAACAGCCTCGCTGCAGTTCAGGCAGTGCAAGGATTTCTTTGGAAAGTATAATCCACATCAAAAAGTTACCAAACAACACATCACAAACAGCAAGTCTTGTTTAAAAGGGCTAAATTTGAAATATGGCCAGAGACCTGCCCAAATATACCATGTAGTCTCTGTGGCCACATGGGAAAGCAAACACTTCTTCTTTTGAAGCTATTCTATTTTTTTATTTCCCCCATGATCTTAATAAACACTCTAATTTTAAACATATGGAATTATAGTACCAGCAATTTAAGTGATTCCAGGAAATTTCCGTAATTTTCAGCTTTACAATTAAACCATTTAACACCATTTATGTGCAACAACATGCAAGCCATGTAAAGTGCTAAAATATTACCCTAATTACATTATTTCTTGCAACTCTTAATTGCAGGCCATGTAAGAGTTATCATCAGAGCAAACTAAAACCTATTCAGGAGAAAATTCATTTTAGAAATGAACACAATATAGGGATATTGAACCAACGGGATTTAAGTAAATTTGCAATGGCAGGAAAAAACTGCATACAATGTGAAGACACAAGACACAATGTATCTGTGTCTTCTATGCATCAGTCACTAATGCATACTTAAAAGTGCTCAGGTTTTTATCAATGTATTTCAAGTACATACAAATTATTACCTGTTTAGAGATATCCAAGAAGAGAGGGAGCCTCAATCATTCAAACAGCGCACTACACAGACTGGGAATGTAGGAGCTGCTTTTATTGCAGCTTTATATGTTGTATATTTTCAAAAGTGGACAAGAACTAGTCTTGAGCCTCTAACATAACATTTGAAAATTTATTGACCTCAGTATTTTTCATTTCAATAAAAATATCCTCATTGTTACAAAACCTTTCAAAAATAGCCAAAGATGAAAGCTCAACTAGATTGATAAATTTTGTAATATACCTGCTCCTTAAAGAGTAAATAAAATCTAATAAATAAATAAGTACCAGTAGTAACTGAAAAAAGCTAATTCTAAAAGCTAGTCTAGAACTATTAAAGCCCTAACACATTAAACATACAGCAATTCCACATTAATTTTGCAGGTCATCTTCTCTGCATTGTGACACAAATTCTCTCATTTTATTGCAATTTTGCCAGAACTGCTCTGGGATCCATATCTTGGGAAGACTGCTTTCCAGTAATAAATATTAAGCTTCAGATTAGGCATCTGATTCTTAATTGGAATCTTGGCCATTTTCAGACTGAAGTTCCATTATAACATTTTAAAAGAGAAGAACATTTGGTGATGTGAGTTAAATTTAAAAAAGCTAATAATGAAATCTGTAGTAATACAAACTCAATTTTCCATCCTATTACGACCAGTTATTGGATATTAAAAAAGTTGCTAACCAGCAACTCTAAAGTCTCCCAATAATTTCAACATTCAGTTGCTAATTTACGAACACCCATATGTATGTTACACTGTAGTGTCTTGATTTCACTTTCTCACCTCTTAATTTTCTGGAGCACTCAGTATAATAGCAGACAACACGAGGCAGCACAGTAGCTACCCTCTCTGAATGATGAAGAAAGGAAACAAATGTGCTGTACACAAAAAATACAATGTTTCTGGGCCACATGACTTAGAATTATGACAGGATAGTGCCAAAGCAACTTGGAAAAACAGGACAAATTCCACCTGACACAGAAATGCTGGTCTTACCCAAATGCAAAAAAAAATCCAAACCTGAATTAATTTCTCGATTTAAGTAACAAAGACTCTTGTGGCATAAATTTGCAAGACAGAATTCTGAGTTGTATGGAAAAATGCATTGCTAAAAAAAAAAAAAAAAAGAAAATACACAAGAAAATACACACTGCTTATGTAAGCCAGAGGCACATTACTACCACCATATTCCATTATTTTTATTAAGTGCTAGCAGAACCTCATGAGGAAAATTAACAGAGGATAAAATTATTTTCAAAATTCTACATCTTTGCATTACTACATACCAGAGACCTTGTTCCAGTTGGCTTACTAGGCTATTTTAGGTAATATTGCTTGGGAAAAAAATGTAAATTGAACACTAGTAGAATCTGCCAGTACTACACAGGTGCATATGCAACAGGATGTCTCACACTGCAGCATATGGAAACATACATGTTCTTACAAAAAGCATGCAGCTGACCAGATCCATGGACATGTTCATCAGAGTAATGTTTTTTCTTGGCCTCTGCTGCTACCTGTCCCTTAGGCAGGGCAAATAGGTTCATTGTTAATGGATCCTTAGGGGTGGATTAAACCAAAACTATAAATAAGCAATAGAACAAAAAAAAAAAAAATAATATTAGAGTAAGTGCTTTGAAACTACAACTGGAAAAAAAAAAAAAAAAAGAAAAATAAATAAAAAAGGAGTAACAGATTGGAAAAGGGGTGTATAGCTGTCTTGGAGTGTATAATCATCTTAAGAGAAGAAAATTCAAAAGAGAAAAATAAAGTAAAAGGGACAATAGAAGAGAGAAAGATACCACCACCTGTGGCTTCTGTGACGCATGGGTGATCATGGCTCATGGTTGTGATGTACAGTCCTGGTCCATCATAGGTGGAGGCCCACAAAAACTGGGGGGTTATGACCCTGGTTCTTCTGGTAAATAAATGCCCCAATACCTCCTAGATGAGTTCAGGGCATGGAGAACAGTATTCTTCCTGGAAGATTCTGGAAATCTGGCTGTGTTGAAGCAGCAGGGGAGGGTTGAGTGCATGTGCCTCAGGGTTGTGTTCAAGCGCCTGGGCAAAGCTTGGGAGTAAACTTTCTGAGTTTTGTAGTTGCAGTTAGTGGGTGAAATGGTGTGGGAAAGAGACTGCCATAAAAAAATCCAACAAAACACTGCACTGCTTCCACAGGTTCCATTGCTTAAAGGTGCTTTTTCCTTTAATTTGAAAACAGCTTGTTTATGGCAAAATTTAGCTGCACAGTCCAAATTCTTCCCTACAGCCCGAGGCCAAAGGAATCCGTATTATTTTACAACCTCTCATACTGAGAATCACATGTTCTATTCTTGCCATAGTTCTACTGCTCAAGTCAAAAGTCACAAAAGCTAATAAAATATAATAGAAAGAGTTTGTCACAACTAAGAGTATCTAGAAACGTGGAAGCTATCTTCACTTACCACTATACAGCTCAGAAAAGTAAGACTAATTAAGGAATTCCAAGAAACTTAAAAAATCATAGAATTTTGTAATTGAAATGTAAATTCAAAAAATTGAAAAGCATAATCCTTTAACATTAGTTTCTAAAAAGCAGAAACACTACCTTTTTCAACTTTATTTTCTACATGGAATAGGATTCAAATATTCTTATATAGAAATAGCAGACTAGGTCCAAAATTCTTTAACCAATGGTTTACTGATGTTCCTCCACATTAATCAGCACCATTCACCTACAACTGACTACCTGATCCATCTGAATCCCCTGTTACTAACTATATAAGGGAGGATTCAACTCAGGTGAAATATGCTATACTATACCAGAAACACTGTTCAGTATTATCTTAAGAATTAGAAAAGTCAAATTAATCTCATAATTTGAGATTTGTTCTTGTGCTTTATGTCATCCAACAGAGACCAATCATGGGAGTGATGACATTTACAAAAGTCAAAATTACCGCTTCTCGCTGGTCTCCAGGAGCCAACAGAACAGACAGGAAGATACTTCCCAGATCATGGTCAGGGTAGTGAGTATCCTTCAGACTCAAGGTAACATCTGTTTGCCTAGGAGACAAAATCAATGCGCTTACTAGGTCTTCAGACTCTCAGATAATGAAATTTCCCAATCATAATTGATGGCATCTGATTTAATATGAACCTATTATAAAACATTGGCACAAATTGCCCCATTTCTACTTTTAAGTATTTCTGCTGAATGTTCATAAAAAATACTAAATACTTTTACTCTATATTAACTACTGTATTACATGTACTGAAGTAATTAAATCAAAAATATAACATTAATGGAGTAAAAAACAGGAAAATATTCAAACATTAGGGGGTAATGCTGTAAATAAAACTAATACAAAAACAAGATTAAAGTGGTTATAAAACAAACCCCTCCATAAACACTATGAAAATGTGCGTAATCAGCTAATAAATTAACATTCATCATATAATAATTTCTTAAACATAAGTGGTTTTCTTTGGTTAGATTTATGCTGTGCAGGTTTATATAATTATTTTCTAGAATGGTGTTTTGCCCTCAAGTCCACAAGCATGGTTTTAGCAGATAAATATATATGAATATTCCATAGGCTTGTTTGTGCCATACCTGTTTAATTCCAATGATGTGAGATCCAAAAATGCCGAACCAATGAAGTCATCTTGAAGTCCAAAGTCATAATCAAATACCTATGATGCACAAGAGCACTCCTTAGTACTAGAAATCTTTCTTTCTTAACAGCTTTTCTGACTGTGAATTATTCTGCAAACTCTTTTTTGGAGTTGTAGTGTCATGTCTCTCACTTGCTGAATCAGGACTACCTAAAAGTAACCTGAAATTTTCTGGCCAGAAAATCGAGTCTGAAACTGCTTGTTTATAAGTCAGACTGCATAATATAGAGACAGTGGTTAATACTACTAGTAGACTACGCATGTGAACAACAGCAATTTTATAAAAATGAAAGAAATATTTTTATAAACACAGACATTGAAAGAAGGAAGATCACAACAATAAATAAAGTTAAGCAGAATCACTGATTTCCTATACATTGGTTACTTTATGAATCCTGCAAAGTGGAAGGAGAAGAGCAGGATATGTTTATAGAAACTGTTTTCACTTTTATTATAACACTTGCATCAGTGTTTGAAATAATATAATTGTACATTTTGGAGGTTATGCAACTTTCTAGGGTTAGAAACATTACAATTTAAGATTAAAACTGAACGAATATGTGTAAGAAAACAATGGCAGTTAATACTCTGCTATGAGGAATCTGCCTCCTAATTTGGTACGTAAAAGAGAAAATAACTTGATAAATTTACTGACATCAAAACAGGAACCTGGCCAGTATATCAGATGGTACTATTTGAGATGGGTTATGACTTCCTAAGAATGAAGAAAGAATAGCAAATAATCTGGGGGCAGCCATTGCAGGGAAACAAACAAAAAAAAATGGACAGCAACAGAGAAATGTTGCAACACAAATGCAAAAAATTACAAAGGGAAAAGATCAATTATCAAAATCAACTTTTAAAGTAAATTAACCTTTTTTGGGGTAAACAGGTTTTCTGAGGACTAGAACATATCTTCAGCTAGGTAAGAGTGAGACTTGTGAACACCTTACAAGCAGAAAGGAGAAAACTGAGTATATGACAGGACTAGGTTCAAGGTCTTCAACTCTAATGTAAGTACTTCTACTGTTGTACTTCAGAAACTCTTCCAGGAGGCAAAACAGTTCATCTTCTACAAATACCTTAATATGGTCAGGGTTAAGACAGTAGTAATAGAAATCCCATGGCCTAAAGGCTACAGCACAGTTGCACTCATGATATAAGTATGTGAGCACAAGTCTCTCACATGCATTGATCTACCTGCATGCATTGATCTACCCTTGCATTTTCTACATCTGTTAGTCATTCCAATGGGAAAAGAAAACAAATGGTGAAATCTCAGTTCATCGTGCAAAGTCAAAATTGTTTTCTCCCCTCTCTCGCTCTACAAATTACCAAAGTAAAAATACCAAGTACTTTCAGCTGACTTAGTAAAATTCAATCATGTCTTAAAATATCTGAATGAGCTGTAAAACCTAAAATACTTCAGAGAGTGTGTTCAGAATACAGCCATGATAGACATACCACTTGACACACTTTTCCTAGGGGAAAAAAATACACATCCTACTGCAGATCTGGTATTTAGCATAAATCCCAAAACAGGTGACTATATTGCAAGTCTTTGCATCTTCCTCTCTCCTTTACCTCTTCATTTGTTATGAGTTATTATACATAATAAAAGCAGGAAAATGCCATTTGATGATTTTAATTAGCTTTCAAGGTTTTCTAGTAACGATATACTTTCTCTGAATAGCATGAAACACAGTATTGATTAATATTTAAAGGATGTTTAAGTGGTATTGCTCTACTAAAAAAAAAAAATCTATAATTTGACATTTCAGTTAAAAATTCTGTCATGAATTTTAGATTAAGACTGATACTGATCTAAAACATCATGTAATTTCAGATCATCTTAAGAGAATTATAATAGTAAGCCAAGTTTCCATACATATGGAAAATACGAGTATTTTCAATGTATGCATGTTTTATTTTGAATCCTAGGACTACAGTTTTTCCAAATAGATTTTTGGAACATTATTTTTATCTACTTTGTTTTACACAACTAAGAATCACTTTTGCATATTGATCATCATAGACTACAAGGGCCAGAAAAGCATCTTTCTCTTCTGTGTGTATAAAACAATCATCACAGTTTTTCTAGTTTCCATTCCAACACTGACATCTAAGAAATTTTAGTGGCACTGCTGCTTATTAGTCATAACATTAGTGGCCACTTTCTGATCTAAACTCAAGCAATCTGTTATTTCAGAATAATTGGTGCATCCAACACAAAAAAATCATCCTCACCTGTGATTTACTAGGGAGAGCTACAGTGTAAAAATTTTAAGAGCAGAAAATGGTATGAAACACAGAAGCAAACTCACTGTGTTCCATACAAACAGAAAAATTAAAAAACTTAGAAGAATCAGGCACACATCTCAATAAATTCTCAAAAGCTGACCTCTGCAGTGAATTGTTTTTAATGGGACAGACCATGCTACATATCATTACTATGCAATGATATTTCCATAAATAAAATGGATCATGAAATGCAGTTTACTTTGTCTCTTCTTCTGCTAAGACCACATTAAAGAAATATAAAATAATTATGATCTGAAGTAAAAAAAGGCCTGTATTTGCCACTTTCAAAAATGCTGATATCATCATTCTTCAAACAAAACTTAAATAATTTTCACTTTAAATAGTCTTTATTCTTCACTGTTGTACAATGAATCTTTCAGTATACAGAAAATCACAAATCCTGAATTCTTCCAGTAATTCTTCAGTTGTAATTTATCAGACATATATAAGCTGGTGTCTTACCTTTATATACAACGGTTCTCTTAGGTTATCTATAAGAATGTTAGCTTTTTCTTCCCAGACAGGATTGAGGTTCTTGTGTACTGTTTTACTTCTAAATACTTCTTTTCCTCCAAGTTTGAACTTGACATATGGATCACTTGTTCCTGGCAAAGACACATATATGTATGCTAATTCTATCTTTATAATACACTAAGGAAATTGAGACTAAATTACTTTAAACAGAACTAAATGTTCTACAGCTAGTCAAATGCACAACAGCATCAGATGAAAAGAATTCTTTATTGTCACAATCTATTACTTTCCAGGGTGTCAATACTCAGTTAATTGAGTCAGTTAACATCAAATGAGTGCTTGCATCACTTTCTGTTGTTTGCAATCCATTCTCAAAGTCACACATGAAAGACTGGCAGTATTGTTTTTAGTTAACAGAATTAACTCGTTAATGCGAGTAAACAGAGTTAACTTGTCCTTATTAGGGCTACTATTTTATCTTAATGCAACAACAAAAATTAGATTATAAAGTTGAAATTACTCCTGTAAAATACTAACTTAATTATGTTGTGCCTTTGAAAAGGCACATACTCCACTGACACTTCTAGTGTAAGTCTTCAATGACTTTATTGCATCCAGGCTTTTCTTTTCCATATAGACTCACTTTCTACAGCACACGATGAGAAAATTAACTCTAAAGTCTGACCAAAATGTCCTCAACATGTCTCCTGCAGCAATCACCTACTCACTACAGAGCACTGGACAAAGCCTCTTGAAAAAACTGAGTAACAATTAATTGTCATCAGAAAAACAACCCTAACAGATACAAGGAAAATGTTAAATATGACATATGAATGCCATATGCATGGGACATGTATGTGGAAGTATCAGAAGAACTGAACCACCTGTGAAAGAAGGAGTCTTGGGGGGGCACAGAGACTTGCAGTCATCAAGGAGTGCACATGAGCCTAATTGATCAAAGACTATCTTAAACAGTAATTCTAACCTGAGTAACAACTGTACCTCCTTAACAGCAGCAAAATTTTAAGACAGTATATTTTTTTTTTTTTCCCTGTAACTATTAGGGCTTTTCAAGAGACCAGCAGATTTTAGAAGTTTGTGTTTGTATCCACTGGGAAATACATCCAAAAGAAATAGCTTCTCTTAAAATTGCAACATACTCTTCTAAACATAAATTAGAAGGGTTATGAGCAGCAGTCTTTGCATTATTTCATCCAGCCACAAGATGTCAGCACTCTTTACCTGAAGTTAATCTCTTCCCATTTCAAAAACTATAGTGGTGGAAAATTGTGGTCTCTCATGTTACAGTCATTTGCAACTGTAATTCCTGGCACAGAATTTCAGTGTTTTTTTCTAGCACAACTAAGTTGTTCCTTGGTTTTTCAAGTAGTGGTGATAATTTTGAAGTCAAAGATCAAGTATTTAAATTAATTCTATGTAATGTGAAGAATATTTTGAGTATGAACACTATGTTATGGTGTGCCCAGACCCGGCTCCGTGGGACCACTCTACAACCTCAGGAATTCTGTTAGGCCTTGACCTTCATGCAGACAGTTTGACAATGAAGCATCCCTTGACTGTACCAGGAACTTCTGCATGGTTAAGGTGGGAGTGGCATTGAGTGGAAAGACAAGAAGGGAAAAAATCAATCTTTTGCTGACAGCTTTGGAACATCTTAAAGAAGAAAACCGATTCTAGCTCATGAATTGGAAGGGTTGATTGAGAGGGCTGTAAACTAGGTTTGGAGGGAGAAGGGGGTAAGACCAGTCTCACTAAAGATGAGCCAGAGGGCAGCATGCCGGTGTCAGGGATGAACTTGATAACACAGCTAAAGCAGATGACCCCAGCCGGGGTAACAAACAGAAAGAACTGGAGGCCATTCTGCAGTGGAAAAGCTGTGACACAAGTCACCATTACAGAAACACAGTAGAATGACTTGACTGGAGTGCTGCATGGATGTACAGAAGCTCTTCAGAAGGGTTAGGCAAGGAAGAAGAGGTGGAAGGGTAGCTCTGTACACTAAGGAGTGTTACAGTTCAAGGACAGTGATGGTAAGTTTGGGTGTTTGTGGGTGAGATTTGGGGAAAAGGACAATAAGGCAGACATCCTGGTGAGAGTCTCTTATAGACCACTCAAACCTCTTGAAGAGGTGGATGAAGCACAGGTGGCTAGCTGACATTTCACAATTTCCTGTTCTTGCTCTTGTGGCAGATTTCAACTGGCTGGATGTCTGCTGCATACTCAAGACAGCAGAGAGGAGATGGTCTAGGAGATTCCTGGAGTGTGTGGAATTTCCTGCCACAGCTGGTAAGGGAGCCTACCAGGGCTGAGATTCCACTAGACCTGCTATTTGTGGATAGAGAAGGAATTGGTGAGAGTTGTGTTGGTCAGAATCTTGGCTGCACATCTGGGGCACAGTGATTGAGTTTTTAATTCTTGGTGAAGTAAGGAACAGGATCAACAAAACCTTTACCTCAGGAGGGTGGACTTCAGCCTGTTCTGGAATTGGTTCAGGGACTTTGCTGGGAAATAAAGGGGTTCAGGAAAGCTGGACATAGTTTAAGAAGAAAATCTTAGAGATGCATACGTGAAATGTCCCTATGTGCTGCAAGATGAGCTGTCAGGGAAGCCTCATCAACAGGAAACTTTTGCTGGAACTCGGGGGGAAAAAAAGGGCGTTTATGACCTTTGGAAGAAAGGACAGACAACTAACGAACAGTAAAAGGATGTAATTAGGTAATGTAAAGAGAAAAATAAGAAAGAAAAAAGCTGTGCTGCAACTCAGTCTTATCACTGCTGTAAAAGAAAATAAAAAGTGTTTTTATAAATATATTAACAACAAAAGGAGGGCCAAATAAAACCTCAATCCTTTTTTGAATGCAGAGGGCAACACTGTCACCAAGGATGAGAAAAAGGTTGAGGTACTTAATGCCTTTTTTGCCTTAGTCTGTAAGACCAGTAAGACCAGTAAGACCAGTTATTCCCAGGGAAACCAGCCCTTGAGCTGGTAGACAGGGGTGGAGAGCAGAATAAACATCCTGTAATGCAAGAGGAATTAGCAGAGCCATTTGGACATAGACTTATAAGTCTATGGGACCAGATGTGATTTACCCAAGAGTACTGAGGGAGCTGGTGGAAGCGCTCACCAAGCTGCTCTACATCATTTCTTTATCATCAGGCCCCAGATGACCAGGGATTAGCCAATAGCTGCCCATCCATAAGCAGGGGCTAGAAGGTGGATCCAGGGAACTACAGGCCTGTCAGCCTGACCTCAGTGCCTGGGAAAGTTATGAGTCAGATCAGGCCCTAATCTCATTTCATGTCCAACCTGTTTGACCAACCTGATCTCATTTCATGACCAAGTAACCTGACTGGTGGATGCTGGAAAGGCTGTGGATGTTGTGTACCCTGACTTCAGCAGAGCCTTTGGCACTGTCTCCCACAGCATTCTCCTGGAGGAGCTGGCAGCCCATGGCTTGGGCAGGTGCACTCTCCAGTGGGTTAAGAACTGGCTGGAAGGCTGGGCCCAGATCATGTGACTGTGTTGTGTCACATCCAACTGGTGGCAAGTCACTAGTTATATTCCCCAGGGCATTTTAATTTTAATCTCGCACATAAATTTACCCAATGAACACGCAAATTGCCCATCATTTAGCCAGTGTTCACCAGCTCACTTACCTCCACGGTCTCGTGCAGCTAGATTCTGTCCTCTTCTTAGAGTAACGTCCAACTGATATATTCCAGGGTCCCCAGGTGGGAAATCTGCATTACTAGTTCCAAATGAACTTGTTCTCTGGGGAGGAAAAAAATAAAAATGCAATAGCTAATGTTACGAAACATTTCACGTAAGTTATATGTATACAACATGATCCTACTGAACTAAGAAAAGGCCACATTCCACTCCCCCACCTCAGAGCTACTACCCAACACCAAGGAATCAGCTCCATTTTGTCAGCATGACAACTACCAAGATTCCTTAAAAGAAAAAAAAAAAAAAAAAGGAACAAAACAAACTGGTTGAAAAACCAACCCTTTGATATAAAGGGGTTAGAAATTGACAGTCTTTAAGGTTCCTTCCAACACAAACTATTTTAATGATTTTAAGAACTACAGCCTTAATTACATTCATATCTAGTCCTGGCCCACTGAAGCAAAATAAGTAAGAAAATCACAAAGCTAGACCTTACAGCATTACTTGGACTAGTCATTACCAGTGTCCTCAAATCCTGTGTAGATTAGTTATAATGTATGCATTGAATAAACATACATGAATTAAGATTTTGTGCTCTACTGCAGTACTTTGCAAGCAAAGCAGATTTTTTTCCCACAGAGTTTCGGGGGAAGCTATGCCAGGGAAATAATCAGAAAGACATGAAATACATCTGTAGTTCTGTTTGCCAGAGCAAACATCCTTAGATTATTTATTTGTATAAAATGTGTCCTTAAAAAATACTATAGAAGAAGTCAGAATGCAAGGAACTCTCTAGAACCTCTGGAGTGCATGAACAATAAACATATTTCTGTCCAAAAGACAAAGTAATTACATTTCTTAGTATATAGAAGCTTTTGCAAAATAGTTTTTAACACATCTCTCTGTAAGTAGAATCCAATTACAGCACGTGATTGAAACATCATATTTAATTTTAAGACTAGAAAAATTAAATTAATTATACATTCACAGTACATACAAGAACTTCATCTGTTACACACTTTGAACACTATATTTACATATGCACATGCTAGGAACTAAATCTTTTAAGAGTAGTGCCATTAATATTTTATTATGTGATTATGGGTTTTCTGCAAGAAAAAAAATTGCATGATAGAAATATCTCAGAACATGTACCAAGTGCTATACCATTTCACCAAGTAACAAGTTTTATCTCTTCCTACTAAACCCTTTCTTCTTTTCAAAGTAATACTAAAGCTAAAGCATGAAGGAAGACACAAAATAAAGGCATTTCAATATCTGGTTTATTGTTGTTTCAAAGCCATAACTTCAAGCCTTAGCATATTAACCTTTGCTGCCGCACATAAAATGCTGGTCAAAACGCACACTGGCATGCTCACTGGTGAAAGAAAGACAAAGAACATCTGGCAGCAAAAAAAAGCAAACAGAAGAGTTTCCATCAATTTGCTCCTCTTTCCATCTGCCTCCATATCCTGATTTTGGAGCAAAATAGTTTGCTGACATTTATTAATTTAAATCTAATATAAAATTTTACTTCTGCAGTACTTGCAGAGCCTAAGATAGTATGATAGTACAACAAAAGGGAAAATAAAACTAAGTTCTCTGTTTCACCACTGAGATTACAAACCTGTAAGTTTCTTTCTTCAAGAAAGAAATTGCAGCTTCCTTACCACCTTTCTCCCATGTCCTTATCCTCTTTTTTTTTAACACAAATTAAAAACTGTCCGATGTTGTTTACTGTGAAAAGCAACTACTGCAATCATGCCAAATCCTACCAGGGTTATCATTTGTTTCTTACAAATATAATGGGTCACCTACAGACAACACACTTCCAGCACAGGGATTCAAGTTTTTTTAAGAACTGAAGGAAGTAATTTTCTTACTTTTACCTTTCTTTTCATCGTTTGGAGTATATTGCCTCAACCTGTTTCTATGGTGTTGTGTAACAGCTTTTTTGATGAAACCATTAACCATTTATGGCAATTCCAGTTCCAGAAGAAATTAATACTAGCTACTGGATGAACACTTCCTTTTACCACGAAGTAGACAAATCAGTCAATGTGCAAGTACCCACCAACATCTCTTATGATTGGACACACGTGCAAAGGTGTAATCCCCCACAAAAGAACAGGACACTAGATTGTACTGATGCAATCGGAACTTCTGCCGGAATCGGAAATCACACACAGTGCACTCAAACACTTAATACTAGGCAACGTAAATCATCCTTGGCTGGAACCAAAAGGGGATATGTGGGATACTGGTATGTGGGGATAAAGCCTTTTGTATAGTGCTGCCCCTAGGCTGGACTTTCAAAGCCTTAGTCCCTAACATAACAATAATTGTTGAAAACCACGTGCCCTTAGGACTATTGATAAGAAGCTAACTGGAAGTGTACAAATTGAACCTTAAATGCTGTAACTGAGAGACCAACAAAACTCTATTGTTTTGTACAGTGGTTTTTACTCTGGCCAGGAGTAAGGGAATTAGAAAATACAATAGTAGACTTTTATGCTACCATTATATATATTCTATTCTATTCTATTCTATTCTATTCTATTCTATTCTATTTATCATATTATATATTATATATTATATATCATATATCATATATTATATATCATATATCATATATCATGTATCATATATTATATATAATATATAATATATAATATATTATATATTATATATTATATATTATATATTATATATTATATATTATATATTATATATTATATATTATATATATTTTTATATATATATGTGTGTGTGTGTATAAAATCATACAATAGATGTCATTACTGAATTGCAGAAAGAAGTTAAGAGCTTGTCACAAGTCGCTTTACAAAAATAAATGGTATTATTCTCTTGGTATCCCAAGGAGAAGTATGCACTATCATTAATGTCAGTTGCTCTGTATACATTGATCAAAGTGGTAGAGTGTCTACAGATGTCCAGGAAATCTGGAAAAAAACTCACAAATTTGACAATGCATAGCTCAAGATGACACCTCCTGGGGATCTGAAGAAATCTGGATCAAATTTACTTCATGGTTACCCAGCTGGACTTGATTAAAACATGTTTGTAATTGTCACCATAATAACTGCTCTGTGTGTTTTAGCTTGCATCATGATTCAGTTGTTGTAATGTCTTACACTATAAAATGAAATACAGATATTAATAGACAAGTTCCCTTAAGGAATTTAGTCTCAAGAAAAGGGAGGACTTGTTAAGAACAGCAGAGCAGAACAGTGTTTTACCCTCACAAGGACAGGCAAACAGAACAACACAGCCTTGGAGAAATAGATAGAGGATGTAACTTACGAAAACAAGACTTGTGCAAAATGCAGCAAGGTGCCAGTTCAGCTCTGCAGGGCTGATAAAGCAGAAGTTATGGAAAAGAACCATAGTGTGCTAACTCAAAAGTGGGGGTTGAGAAAAAACACCTAAAAAGGACACCAGACATTGAAGACTACCAAAGACCTGAGAAGGACCACATAAGGACTTTGACAAGGGATGTGATATGTAAAATGAAATAATACATATACATCAAGTAACCAGGGATAGCTCATGAATATGTAATCTCTGCTTATGATAAAAGCTCTTTTCATCTGACATTCGGGGTACTTGATTACAGGAAGGATCCTCTGAGTGACCAGCAAACTGCCGGTCACTCAGAGGATGAACACCAGATTTCTAATACTCAAAACTGTCTTAGATAAAGGCTATGTTTCTATCTGGCCAGTTTTGGTACCAAGGCTGAACCACTTTACTTTGGCCAAAGACTGGAATAGTTTGCCCAGGGAGTCTCCCTGAAGACACCCAAAACCTGCTCTGACATTGTCCTGAGCAATCTTGCTCAGAGCAAGAGGTTTGATTGGTCTGTCTCTGGAAGTCCCTGCAAACCCCATCCACCCTGTGATTTTTTACTGCTTTGAAATGTCATGGAAAATAAAGTATATGATGAACTTAGCTACCTTTCCTCAATGCACTTTTGCCTTCCACTTCTGTTTGCCCTCATCTGGCAGTGCTGCAGTTGGCATTCAGAATTACCATCCTCTCCACCCCTTAAGAGAAGAGCATGTCTAAGATGCCAAGATACACATAAACCCTGAATTTTTCAAGATAAGTTTATATATATATATATATATATATATCTGCTTTGCATTTATGCTGCAGTGCTCTTGAAAGTTGCAGCCGTTCCCTGCACATTTCAGTCCTTCTCTGTGAAGAAACCCATTACTTTCAAAGGCACATCAAGCCATATTGTGTATGACTCAACAAACATGACGCTGCTTTCTACATGCACTTGTAGAAAGCAAGTTACCTGCACTCTCAAAAATCACAAATATTATCTTTTTCAAAAATTAAAATGCATAGTAAATTCAAGTCATCATGAAACAAATCAGATCTCACTTTCAGAAAAACTACTGCAGAATTGTTCAGTTTCCAAGACTTTCCTTCCAAGGAAAAAGGCTGAGCAATTCTGTGCCATTTTGGTTTTAAGTAGATTACTGGAACTTACGTGGCTTGTCTGAGTACATTTTTGCAATCACATATGCACTTGCACTCACAAACACATGATGCATGCACAAAGTAAAAGGGGAAATAGAAGCAGTCTCTAAGGGGATGAAAATAACACTGAAAATTCACACCATTTTTTCCTGCTTAAATTAGACCCTTAATTCTTAAAATAATTGAACTGTTAGGCATTAAAATCATATCTGCATTTCCTTTTTTCCTGTTTTTCCCAAAGACTAAGTCTCAGACAGATGCAGCACTTTTCTAATTTCTGGCAGCTAGCATTTCTGCCACCTCTAGGAAAACTTGCACTATCACACAGAAAAATTCTCTCACATGCCTGGAGAGTGCAGAATTGCACAACAAATGATGTTAAACATGGCAGATGAACGATAATTCAATTAGGAACCAGAGGGAGGCGTCTCATCTAAATCAGAGATGATTTTGAACAATTAACTCTCTCCATTTCAAAATGAGATACTTACCTGAAGTCAATAGAAATGCTATACACATCATTCACTTGAAAAAATTAATCTCTAATCACTGTATATAAACTTGAATCACCCATGTTTTCACAACAGAAAACAATACTAAAATATTCCTACCTTAATTTTCCATATTATTAATCTTAAGTATTTATATAAATACATATAAACATATAAACATAACCTGGTTTATCCAGAATTAGTTTTTTATTTAAATTATATGACAAAGTTGTATTTTAAATTTTTAGGAAGTATATTAGAACATGACATTTGAATTATTTTGAATTAATTTAAAAGCAAATACAGCAATAGTATCACTACCAGTAAAACAACACTAAACTGTTTCTAAGATGAACTTCCCTAGTGTTTTGTGTCTCACAAAGATATCTGCAAATCCGAGTTAGCCTTCTGAGCTGGCAGCTGCTCAGCAATACTGCTCACCTCCAGCTGGTAGCAATGGCTCTGCATAAATATCATTTGACTACTGCTGCAAACTGCAGCTACTCAGAATGAAAGTAACATAAATCTTGCTTCAATTTAGCTTGAAACTTGAATATGGACATGTGAAATGTGTGAAATGTCTTTCCTTAAAATCTCTAGGCATCTTTTACATTTTGCAGTTGTTTCAGTTTTATGGATTCAGAAAACACACAGCTGACCGGAGCCAAATGGGCAAGCCATTTTTTTCAGTAGTTCATATTTTAAATATTTAAATAACTGATTTAAAAAGCATCACTGATGACTGCAATGAAACACGAAGTCTTCCCTCAACAGAAGCTTGCTGGAAATAAGAAGGATTTGGTAGAAGTAATTATCTCATGGCACATAGCAGTGAACCTGCACGCTACTCTCGGTCAATCTTACACTTTTTTAGCAATTTTATCTGTGTTTGTAATTTCAAAATGGTGGAGTTATAGATCTTTCTGACATTCACTTCAAAGCTAAAAAAATATTATAAAATAGTATTTTTTTTTATTTTAAATCACTCCTAAAGGAAAAAAGAAATCAATTTCCTAATCATAATTTTCCTAAAAGAAAAGAGAATCACTCTCCTCAGGAAGAAACAATGGTTTTAGAACGATCTGTGTAGTTTTTGTGGCTTCACATACCATACTGCCCATATCCATCTCATTTAATCCCTCTATGCCTCATTTTTGACCACTGGAAGCAGTGTAATTCTTCCTTACTTTGCAGATGAAACATAGAGCACTCAAATTATTGCTGTGAGAGGGTCCACAGAAGGAATAGTAGCATTTTCTATCTCCTTGACTGCAGCTCTGGAAAACAATTAACTCATTTTTAAGTATCACATACATTGCTGTTCTCATTTAAAGGTATTTTCAAAGAGCCTCACATATCCCCCATAGAGTAAAAGCAAACATGTTTGGAGAACAAAGGTATCCCCCTTTGACTGACACCTCCCTAACTCTCCATCACCCAGTCAGTTCCTGCCATCACCCTCCTGGGCCCTCATGCTGAGAAGTTGTCCCAAAGCTACTCATTACTTCTCTTCCATATCAGCAAAGGGGCAAAGAAAATGAGTGTAGACTGAGAAACACCATCCAGAGTGCTCTGATGGATGCTTGGATAAAGATGTATTCTACCAAGAACTCCACACTACAGCATACATACAATGAGTCAACAGTGAGTCTTGGTTTCCTTTTCTTTAATTTTCATAATGTGCCAGTCTCCTTAGTTTCTAAAGACAAATGATGATGTATTGTTACACTAAAATAGTTTTGTTATTTGTTATTTTGAAACCCTCCTGCTATGGATAGGGATCAGTTATTTGGAAGGTAAACCATGTGTCGCAGCACTTCCCTAATTAAAATTAACAGCACATAATGAATGTGTGACACTGAGAAAGTGTGCTTAAAATGTGCATTTTCTGCTGAAGTTCACAAAATAAAAACACTCTGCAGGATCCACATTTGTGGACATTTCAGGTAGATTACATCACCTTGGAACCTGACAAGTTCATTACTTATACCAAAAAATAACAAACTGTGGTCAAATACACCTCAACTACTCATTTCAGCAAAACATTGTATATTCACCTGAGAGACTGGAACCATTTATTTCATTTGTTCCACTTACACACCAGTGGTGTTATTTTTCTTCAGAAAACTATCCTCATGAGTAGCATCCAGTTTCTCAGAGTTTGCTGCACTATTCAAATGAAAAACACCACCTACAAGAGTTTCATAATGTTACTTCCTGATTTAATATTCTAAATTAATATGGAATTAATGTGATAGGTCTTGTTAGCATTGGTATGATAAGGGGAAAATAATTTTCAGTTGATGAAAAGAAAGCATTTTAACACTGCAATGTTTGATTAGGAGGATACAAGTGTACTACATTAAATATTAAAGAGTTATGTACTGTATTTCTTTCAACTAATAACTCTGTTTAATGGGATATCATTTGTTTTTTTATTTCACAGAACGCAAAGACTGTCGCTGCTGGTGAACTCTTCTTCTCATCACAGGCAAATTTAGCAGTACCAGGGCTGTGTGTGTGCAGCAGAGCAATTTTTCAAGCTGCACAGCCGTAGGTATAAAATGACACCAGATCAGTCTTCCTTCCCTCTTTCATTTCATTGCCAAGAGACAGACTGCCAAGAAAAACCACTAGCAGCAACAGTTAACTAGAAATAATGGCACCAAAACTGTGACATATCTTGTGAAAAACTGAAGTGAGATAGCATACTAAAGCAAATTTCCCTATACCTTGATGAATGCCTCTGGTTCTTCTCTGCCTAATGACAGCATACTTCATTCTCTTATAAATAGTTTTAATGCAAAAACTGACCTTGGTTGTTCAATAAAGGGACTGGTTTTGATTTGGTTTAGACTGTATTGTGCTTAAGACTGCATTATTAATTTTTAGACACTGTCCTTTAAACTTTTGAGGAGAAATGGTATGCAGTATTTAATAAATTACTAAAAAATAAAATAAAATAAATAAAATAAAATAAAATAAAATAAAATAAAATAAAATAAAATAAAATAAAATAAAATAAAATAAAATAAAATAAAATAAAATAAAATAAAATCTATCTTGGGAGGGTGGAACAGCCCAAAGGGGTGAGGCCATGGAATGAATCCTTTGACATCAATCTGCCCCTCTGGTGGGGATGGCAAACAGAAAGAGGCCATGGCCACAAGGAAATTAATCTTCCCTAAACTACCCGTGTTTAATCCAAAGAAAATCTCTTTGGAGATTGAAGCATCAACTTACAAGTAAATTTTTTTGCTGGTTTTTTTTTTTTTTTTTTTTTTTTTTTTTTTATTTAGCAAAAGATAGCATTTATGGCAATTCAATACTGGTGGAACAAATTCAAAAATTAATAAACTGAAATCACCCTGTCCTATTTTTAATTCTATACAATTTTTCATGTGACCAGTATAGATGTATTAATTTGCCCATGACTCTGAAGACATCCTGGAATCACATCTGACATTTGCCACACTATGAGAAGTAAAGCTAACTGCAATTGTATGTCTCCACTGCTTGCAGAAAGGGAGCAGATAAATAGAACCTATAGAAAAAGCTATCTCCACAGCAAACTTCTGCTTTCATTCAGATGGAAATGTAGTTCCTATAATTTCCACCATACATAATCTTTTCACAACTTCATGTAACTTAAGGTGTAAGCAGTTTACGGAAGAGACAAGGGGGTAATGAAGACAAAACTAATTTTTGCTCAAACTCGAAAATATGTATCCTACACCAAAATTCACTTTGCAAGCAGATGCACTCTAAAAAGAATCACCATGTTCCAGGTTACTCAAAATGAAAGCATATTGAAATGTCTTTTTCATCAAAAAAGAGCACCTGTTCCTTTAAAGCACTGCTGAATTATGCAAATACAAAATTCATTCTGATACATTTAAAACTTC